TCTGGGGCCATGGCCGTGCCGGAGAGCCGCTTGTGGGGGGCAACTCCTGACCTCGGTAGGGCGTGAAGGACGAGCCGGGAACCCCCCCCCCCCCTTCCCATGAGGTTTCAGTTGCCCCATCACGACCGGCTCATACCTGGCTTTCCACAAAGCTCTGAAGCGGCTGCCATCTTTCTTTCCAGAGGGAAAAAGGTAGACACAATATTTTTAAATAGCAAGTATAACAGAATAAGAATAAACTTTTCTTACATTTACTTAGTATTTTTTTCTCAGGAATAAAAATCATAGCTTTTTGGTTTATTGTTTTTTTTAAGTTACTAATAATAGGAATTCAAATGGGAATTTCACACAATTTTCCTCTCCTTGTTCTTTCAATCTTTCCCCTTCTCAGCTCTCAGTAACAATGCTCAGTTGACAAATAGAAGTTACAACGAATAAGTAGAAACTTATTACATCAATAAAACATGAAACCACTACATTAATGCCATTTTGACGTTAGTTAACTTCTCAGGGATTTAATGCAGTTGTTCTTTAACAATAGAACTTGGTTCATTTGCTACTTAAGACATGATTATTTAAATTAAAGTTAATTGGTTTTCTTACTCTCCTTGAGGGCTTTAGTCTCTGAACATTCTATTAGAAAAAAATCTAATTTGTCTCAAATTCTTATTTCTAAATTTCAGAATGAGAAAATGCTCTGGTGTTTTTTTTAACCCTTTATAACAAAAAATCCTAAGTCCCAGCTCAAACTGTCAGAGTAAAAATGTGTCACAGCCCACACAGGGTTCTGCAGTAGTTATAACACAGGGACTACTGTGCCTGTAAGGAGTACTTCAATCAGCGCCCATTCTTCTGATTCTTTTCTTGAGAGTCCCAGTAAAATTTTCAATTGAAAGCATGCCAAAGCAAGTCCTTAAACCACATTTTAAATATTTACATTGGGCCAATGAATGCTTACAACATGCAGTACATTATTAACTGAGCTTTTTACAAGAAATCACAGAATTAGTAAGATGAATTAGTTGATAGTGCACTGTAAGCTATGACCTAATAAAGGGAGAAAGTGTTCAAGTCTACAGTAAAATTTTTTCAATACCTTCCCTGTATCTTACCTAGAAATAAGTCAAAATTCTTCATTTCAGGGACCAGAGATAATAATGGGGTCAAGTCACTTGCCCTGCTTGTAGTTGCCCCAGTTCAATCCTTAACAACATGTATGCTCTAGTGAGCACCTCCAGGAATAAACACTGAGCACACAGCCAGGAATAAGCCTTGAACAGCGCCAGGTGCAACCCAACCCTCAACTAATAAAATCTTAAATTCAAGTTCTTCTTGAACAAGAGTCTCAAATATAAATCCTTCCAGACGGCACCTTACCTTTCTGTTTAAGAATCCAATCTCATTCATTCACTTAAAAATAAAGTGAAAGCAAGGATGTAGAGTATTCATGTGCAAGACCAACTAGGCATCATGGTATTCCTGTGCGTGATCTCCAGCACTGCATGGGTTCCCTGAGCACCACTGGGTATGACCCTGGTGTCAAATAAATAAAATGTGTATTATTCACACCACATGTGCTGGGCACAAATGTACTTGAAAGCAAAAATATATCCATCATATATGCACACAGACTGAGAAAACTCCCTACTTGTAAAGCACAGTTATAATGGATACAAACAACAAATAAAATAAATAAGCAAGTACATAAATAATATACAGCAGAGTGAAATGCAGTTAAAAAAAAACAGAACTAGATAGTGGGAATGAGGAATGCAAATGTCGGATAGGAGTGTGTAATGAAATGGGGATATCAGGAGACCCTGAACAACCGGCCTTAAGCAAAGACGCAAGAAAGTGAGAATGAACCATGCAGCTATCCAGCGGAAGAACATTCCAGAAAAAGCAAAATAGGAATACTATGATGCCCGGTTGATCAAATCAGGGAATGGCCCCAAGGTCCATTGAGCACTGCTTGGGAGACCTCTCCAACCCCCAAAACTTGATATTCAGTTCTTCGTAAGGTGAGGATATATGCCATCTGTCTTTTAATCTAGATAGGTCTGTCATAGCTTTAGTCAACAGAGTAGGGCACAAGTGGCGCTATTTGAGTTCACGGCAGATGGAAAAAAAAGCACACAATTTCTGCTCAGTCTCTTAGAACCTAGCTTCTTAAACTGCTTCATTGGCTTTAAATTTTTTGCTTTTGACTTTATGATTAAGGTAAAAGGTAAAGGCCCTCCCGTTGATCGTCGATTTGCTCGAGCGGGCCCAGTAACGTCTCCATTGGAGACTTTGTTGTTACTGTGTCTGGCATATCCAATACTCTCGGTAGCTTGCCGGGCTCTCCGAGAGGGGCGGAGGAATCGAACTCGGGTCGGCCATGTTGGCTGCTTGTAAGGCGAACGCCCTACCCGCTGTGCTATTGCTTGTATGACTTTTTCCTTTTCTTGTTTTTTTTTTGGGGAGGGGCAGGGGCATGGGGAAGGGGATCCTTCCTGGTGGGGCTAGGGGAAACTGTATTTGGTGATGGGTATTGAACCTGTTCAGTGGAGTGAAGCAAGCTCCTATCAGGTCAACTGTATTATTGCTCCAGCCCACATATGCCTATTTTATATATTAAAGAAAAAATTTAAGAGCCCCTATCTTAGAAGCTTACTTTTTAGATGCCGCTTTAATAAAAATACGTCTATAGTTTTTCAGTTTTTCCTGAAGAGCCCGGCCTCTCGGAGAGCCCGGCAAGCTACTGAGAGTATCCTGCCTGCATGGCAGAGCCTAGCAAGCTCCCCGTGGCGTATTCGATATGCCAAAAAGAGTAACAATAACGGGTCTCATTCCCCTGATCCTGAAAGAGCTCCAATATGGCAGCATTAAGAAAAGAGGCTGCTAAAATTTCAGGGCTGGGACTAATGGAGACATTACTGCGCCCGCTCAAGTAAATCAATGAACAAAAGGATGACAATGATACAGCGGTACTTATGTATTTTGTAATTTTTTAAATTTTAGTATTTATTTAGTTTTCAGTACTTTCTGAGACAGCGCCTCTAAGAACCCATCTGCCACCACGTACCCACCTGGTAACCAACCTCCAGGAGTGACCCCTGAAGATGCCTGAACTTTCCAGAAGGCAACCAAGCAGCCACCACAACCTTCCAGAAGACAACAATGCAGACAACAGAACCTTCCAGACGGCACCAAGACACGAATGCAGTGGGAGGCGGATGGGTCATAGAGGTCTGGGAGCTCTGAGAGTAACCTGAGCTGTGGGGGTGCTATCTAGTATCACTCTCTCACAGGCCAAGTTGCCTGTGGAACAACAAAGAGACCCGATCCCCTTCCCCGCATTTTAGAGACCTCCTCATTTCAGAGACTCATCACCCCAGAGATCCTCACTCCAGAGACCCCGTGATTCCAGAGACCCCTCACCCCAGAGATCCCCTCACCCCAGAGGCGCCCTCACCTCAGAGCCCCCCTTACTCCAGAGCCCCCCTCTCACTCCAGAGATCCCCCTCACTCCAGAGACCCCCCTCTCACTCCAGAGACCCCCTCTCACTCCAGAGACCCCCTCTCACTCCAGAGACCCCCCTCTCACTCCAGAGATCCCCTCTCACTCCAGAGATCCCCTCACTCCAGAGACCCCCCCTCTCACTCCAGAGACCCCCTCTCACTCCAGAGATCCCCCTCACTCCAGAGACCCCCTCTCACTCCAGAGACCCCCCCCTCACTCCAGAGATCCCCTCTCACTCCAGAGATCCCCTCACTCCAGAGATCCCCTCACTCCAGAGACCCCCCCCTCTCACTCCAGAGACCCCCTCTCACTCCAGAGATCCCCCTCACTCCAGAGACCCCCTCTCACTCCAGAGATCCCCCTCACTCCAGAGAACCCATCTCGCTCCAGAATCCCCCTCACCCTAGAGCCCCCCTCATTCCAGAGAACCCCTCACTCCAGAGACCCCCCTCACTCCAGAGACCCCCCTCACTCCAGAGACCCCCCTCTCACTCCAGAGACCCCCTCTTGCTCCAGAATCCCCCTCACCCTAGAGCCCCCCTCATTCCAGAGAACCCCTCACTCCAGAGACCCCCCTCTCACTCCAGAGACCCCCTCTCACTCCAGAGATCCCCCTCATCCAGAGACCCCCTCTCACTCCAGAGATCCCCCTCACTCCAGAGATCCCCCTCACTCCAGAGACCCCCTCTCGCTCCAGAATCCCCCTCACCCTAGAGTCCCCCTCATTCCAGAGAACCCCTCACTCCAGAGACCCCCTCTCACTCCAGAGATCCCCCTCATTCCAGAGACCCCCCTCACTCCAGAATCCCCCTCACCCTAGAGCCCCCCTCATTCCAGAGAACCCCTCACTCCAGAGATCCCCCTCATTCCGGAGACCCCCTCACTCCAGAATCCCCCTCACCCTAGAGCCCCCCTCACTCCAGAGATCCCCTCACCCCAGAGCCCCCATTCACTCAAGACCCCCTCACCCCTGAGCCCCCCTCACTCCCGGGGACGTGGCCCGACGGGACGGGGTGGGGGGTGGCGGGGGCGGACAGGATGGCGCCCGGCCGAGCGCCGGCAAGTGCCGTGACAGGCCCAGCTCTGCTGACGGGCGCGCCACCCGCCCTGGAGCACGGGCCGCGCGCGACAGACGGGGTCGCGCTCCTCCGACGGCGGCGTGACCATCGGGCTTCACGCCGTCCCACGCCAGGCCCGCGCGCTTCCGGCCACGTGACGTCCACGCGCGAGAGTGACGGGCTAGCTCGGGGGCGCCTGTGACCCGGACGGCTCCTTGTCACCGCACAGGCTCTCGGCGGGCGCGAGCCCTGAGAGGGCGGCACGAGGCTTCCGTACAACGTGGCGCCATCATGCATCCCCGCCCGCCGCGGGGCTTCCGTACAACATGGCGGCGCCCTCGCCACCAAAGGGCCTCCTGATGAGGTCACTTCCTGTCTCGCGCAGGCGCTGTTGACTTCTGAACTCGGAAACGCTCCCTCCTTCCTCTTCCGGGACGGTGTCTTCGAGGTATGGCGGCTTTCCTCCTTCTCCTCTGCGTTTCCCCTTCCAATCGGCCGCCATCCGGAGCGTTGCGGGCGCCGGGCGCTCGGGGTCGCCGGCGTTGAGCCGGCCTGGGGTGGAGGTTCCAGACGCGGGTTAGTGGGGAGCCGCCCCTTGGCCGATGGCGCCGGACAGCCCCGATGATGGGCTCGCAGCCGGGCCCTGGCGTTCGGAGACAGACACCCGGTGCCGCGCCGGGCCGCCGCGATGCCCGCGAAGTTCTCCTCGCGCCGCACGCCCGGGCCCGGGCCCGGGCCCAGAGTCTGGACATGGGGTTTGGGGGAGGCGGGACGGGCCCTCGGGGTGGCCGTGGCGGTCGCGACCGCCGCCCGGAGCCCCGCAGCTCCAGGTCGGGATGGGACGAGGGTGTTTCTCGGAGCCGGCCCCGAGGAATTCCCTGAAGTCGGGACTGGGGGCCGAGAACTGACCGCATGCATGCATGGTGCATGCACGATGCGGTGCTCCCCTTCTGCTAGACGCCCATCCCGTCACGCATGGTTTCCTTCCCTAAGTGCAATCGTTTGTGCACGGTCCTCTATGGAATGCGGGGTGTGTGTGTGTGTGTGAGAATCGTTTGTGCACAATCCTTCATGGAAGGCCGTGTGTGTGTGTGTGTGTGTGTGTGTGAGTCGTTTGTGCACAATCCTTCATGGAAGGCCGTGTGTGCATATCATCCGTACATAGACGGATGACGCATCAATAATGCGATGCCATGTTCCCGTCTGAGTTAGGCCTAAGGCAGTTTCTTTCCCTCCTCGGTCAGGCCTTCAGGATGGTGCAGCGTTTGACATACCGCCGTCGGCTCTCCTACAACACCGCCTCCAACAAAACCCGGCTGTGAGTATTTCTGCCCTTCTGAAGTAGGTGGCTCCTTCCTCCTCCGCGTGGGGCCGTCCGGTCACCCTCTTCTGGTTCTCTCCCTTGTACAGGTCCCGAACCCCTGGAAACAGAATCGTTTACCTGTATACCAAAAAGGTTGGGAAGGCCCCGAAGTCCGCGTGTGGCGTGTGCCCCGGCCGGCTTCGAGGAGTAAGTGATTTCTTGGGCTGGGCATAGTCCAAGGACTTAACCCCTGTATGAGGGAGTGAATGTGGGAGAGGTCCCCCCTGGAACTGAGAATGATTGCATCTATGAACAGGATCAGGAAGGGGGACGTTTTGGGGAATGCGGGCAATAGTACAGCACGAGGCCCACGTGGGTTCAGTCTCCAGCATCCCTCTGCTTCCTGGGGCCACACCCCGTGGTGCTCCTTGCCAGGAGGGAGGCTGCAGGGCTTGTGCAGGCCCCTTGGGCTGTGACCTTGCCCACCTGCTGTTTCCCCTTTGCCGCTGCCTAGTTCCATGTTTGAAAAGTCCAGGTGATCCAGCCCAAAGGCTTGAGCTTATGCAGTGTAGACCTCTCCCCGGGTTCTGCAACAAAAACTGAAGTGAAAAAATACAAGATGTCTGATAAACCGTACTCTCTACTTCCAATGTTTGCACTTAGGCATGGGCAGGCTTTGTTTGTTTTTAATGTTCCAGCATCTAACCGTAACGGTTTCTTTCTGCAGGTCCGGGCAGTGAGACCTAAAGTTCTGAAGCGGCTGTCTAAAACAAAAAAGCATGTCAGCCGGGCCTATGGCGGATCCATGTGTGCCAAGTGTGTCCGAGACAGGTAGATACGACTATTTGATCAGACGAGCGTTTTTGTTCTCAGGATTGGGCCCTGCGTCTCTTGCCCAATGTGTGTTGTCTCTGCGTGTCTAACTGTAAAACATTCCAAGTGACTCCTTAATTAACTAGGAGTAGTTGGTGCAGTGTACGCTTTAGGAAAAGGTATTGGTTCATATTAATTTCCCTAAAATATGATTAGTGTCTTCATGCCAGATTGAGGAATTATAAGAACTTTGCCTTGTGGGGGAGCAGGTCAGAGAGTGCTGGAGCTTTGCTCCACTGAGTGAGTGGAGAGCGTTGCAGGGACGGAATGGATCTGTGTGGTCTGGTGGAGCTAGTAGGAGCCAGGCGTGGGAAGGCCCTGGTGGGCAGGTTGTAGGAACGCTTGGTGTGGCCAGACAGGTCTGGCAAGGGGGTGACGTTCTTTTACGTAAAGATGAGGACTAGAACCGTTTCTCTTCTGTGCGCTGAGTATAAACCTAACCTGACACCAGAGTTTGTATGTTCATGCTGCTTTACAGAAAACTGTAGGACTATTTACATTGATACCCAGGCAAAATACATTCTATGAAATAATAGGTGAAAAAAGTTTCCGGGAGAGATTTCTTTGAAGTAGCTGGGGGTGGTGGTTGAGGTGAAGGCTGGCTGAATGATGAGAAAGTTGAATGAAAGGTTGAGGTGGGGGGCAGTGGGAGCAAGGGGTGGTTCTGTGGGACACTTTGTGGGTGTGAACTAGGGAATGAGGAAGGAAGTTGAGTGGGGCGTCCAGGATGAAAAGGTTGTGGCTCTCAAATTCGCAGTTGGCCTTGGATGCAGCTTTCTTGGCTCCCAGAGATTGGGTTTGAACCTGCAGAGTAACCTGGAAAGTTAGCTATGGTAGGAAGGGTCTGATCTATCTTTTAAGAAATGTTTTAGGGGGGTTGCCTTGGTTTTCGCTTTAGGGTCTCCCCATCGTACTTTGTTCTCTGGGGCCCCCGTCAGATCCCAGGTGACAGGGTAAGCTCCACCCACCTGCACACAGCTCCCCTGGGCTCTGGGCTGGGGGCTCAGATCCAGGTTGGCTGTGTGCAGGGCACTTGTACTGGAGCACTGACCCTCCTGCCTGGGTTTTGATTTATTTTGTTGTTGGGTTTGGGGGCTAGAACAAGTGATGGAGCTCAAAATAGTGCTCAGATCCTGGCTCTGTGCTCAGATCCGTCCTGGGGGGATGTGGGGGTGGGTCAGGGCACAGGTTGCCCAGGATCCAACCCTGACTGGCCCTGTGCAGGGCAAGCAACCTACCCTCTGTGCTGTTGCCCTGGCAACTGTGTAGAGCAGTGGTTTGGTTTGGAACCAAACCTGGTGGTGCTCAAGGATTATTTCTCATCTTTGGAAGTAGCTTTGATTTTAACAGATGCTAATGAACACTTGCTGAATATTAATGAGTGGAAACTTTGCTGGTGAATTGTGGGGGGCTTTAAGATGCACTTGGTCTCACTGGTGGTTCAGAGTCCAGAAAATGCACATTCTTCCAGATGTATGAAACTGGAATCATTCCTTTTATTTAGATAGAGCAGGGGGCTTTTCCCTGAAAGTTGTCAGTTCAGTGGTTACAACTTTAAAGACATTTTATGCACCATATACTATTAATGTTAGATCATAATAAAGAAATCAGATTAAGTGAAAGTTGTTTCTATGGTACTGTTTCTGTCCTGTGTTAAATCTGTGATGTTCACTTTTTTGCAATTTTGTCTTCCTCCTAGGATCAAGCGCGCTTTCCTTATTGAGGAGCAGAAAATCGTCGTGAAAGTGTTGAAGGCACAAGCACAGAGCCAGAAAGCAAAATAAATCAATGAAGCGTTTTTGAAGAATAAAATCAAAAGGCTTGTTCTGTCATTTCTGTTGAATTTGTTAGTATATTGGTTGTTTCTCTTTAATATTCGGAGACTCCTGTGGTTTTAAATCCTTTCCTGAGTAATTGGAGATTGTTGGTCGATGGGATTTAATCGATCCCTTCCCTCAATTTAGGCATCATTTCGCTCTTCCACGCCTGATGAAACATGAGTGTTTATTCTTAGGAAGTTCAAGAGTTCCTGGGCTCTTAACTTTTTGTCGTACCATACTGCCAGCTAACTGGTTCTTAGTAAACAAAACTTAAGTAATTTTGGGTTTTTTTTTTCCAGGGAAGGAAAGGCCTCGCAAAATGAATTGACATTTGAGTTTAGGCAGTTCAGAATTTGTTTTTAATAATACTTGATAGCATCTTTGTAATACTAAATTAATACTAGATTTGCCTGTACTTGACACTTCATATCCTTGAGTCCTGCCACCAACCTGTGACTTTTTCTTTCTGTGTCACACCCGGTGATGCTCAGGGGTTACTCCTGACAGTACTCGGGACCATATGGGGTGCCAGGGTCCTGACCCAGGTTGCCTGCATGTAAGGCAAATGGCATAACTGTGACTTCTTGATTATAGATGAAGGAACCAAGGTACTGACAAAAACAAAAGTTGAATACTTTTTTACATGCAAGAAGTTGAATGTTTTGGAGCTGGAGCAATAGCACAGTGGGTAGGGTGTTTGCCTTGCACACAGCCGACCCGGGTTCGATTCCCAGCATCCCATTTGGTCCCCTGAGCACTGCCATGAGTAATTCCTGAGTGCAGAACCAGGAGTAACCCCTGTGCATCGTCGGGTGTGACCCAAAAAGAAAAAAAAAGTTGAATGTTTTGTTTTTTGAATTTAAAATGTTAATATCTTTGTAGACAATTTGAAGGTAATGGGAAGATAGAATGCAAAACTTTTATTTCAGTTCACAGATGATCATTTTAACCCATTTTCTAGCATAAGGTAGACTGGTGTTTTTGTTTTGGGTAATGGTTACTCCTGGCAGGCTTGAGGGGCTCGGGGGTCCCTAGACGAATCTGGGTTGGCAAGGCAAATGCACTATCGGTCCAGTTCCAAGGTAGTCATTTTAAATCAAAATTGAGAACATCTTCCTATGAACATTTCTTTTGAAAAATTATTTGAGTAGCTGCATATTGAGGTATAATAATTGAGTTATTCGGGGCTGGAGTGATAGCACAGTGGGTAGGGCGTTTGCCTTGCACGCGGCTGACCCGGGTTCGATTCCCAGCATCCCATATGGTTCCCCGAGCACCACCAGGAGTAATTCCTGAGTGTAAAGCCAGGAGTAACCCCTGTGCATTGCTGGGTATGACCCAAAAAGCCTAAATAAATAAATTGAGTTGTTGGAGTTAACAGCGTTTCCTAAGTGTTTCAGTCCTCTGTGCTATGACATTCTCATTGTTGGCTCTCACATTGCTCCATAGTTGGCGAGGCCCCTTCCTGTCTCAGGGTTGACTCGATCCTCAGGTGGTAGAGAAAGGCGTAGGTGGCCAGAGCAGCCTTGAAGAGGGCTCTGCCATATGAGGGTTCCCTCCACAACTCCACAGGCAGCCCCGCCAGTTCCCTCCCTTGCACGGAGCCCCGGGTGCCAGCGTGAGTCCAGAAGAGCTTCGATGGGTGCGAACTCGGTCGAAACTGGCCAGCAGACCAAAATTAATTCTGTTACTTCTGGATTTTGCCTGTTGAAGACAAAAAGACCAAACTTATTGGATCCAGTTCTCTGTATGACTTAAAAGTCTTGACAAGCTCCTAAAAGACATGTGAATGTAGTCAGTGGTTTCTCTTTCAAGTCTAGTATTTCTCCTTGCATTGAATTGCTTATAAATTCTATTAGATTGGTGGGGAGGAGGGGTCTTTGGCCCTTAGAAGCAGAAACTCTCCATATGTTTAAATATGAGAATCAAGTTTCAGCAGTGTAATAACATACTTAGAGTATGTGGCTAATGATTTACAGCTTGGACTCCCAGAATATTGGTGGTGGAGGCTATGTGCAGATTGATCTGAACTGTATTTCCTAATTAAACTGTACAATGGAGTCATTGGGATGCAGGGCTGTGTATTTTGATTTTTCTGTAAGTTTATTTCTGGAAAGAGTTCCATAATTATTAAATGACTACTGTAAAGCCATCTTGACTGAGAAAAAGAATCTTGGAGGGGTTTGGGGACATACCTAGTGGTGCTCAGGGCCTGTGTGTGTGTGTGTGTGTGTGTGTGTGTCTGATGACACGGCTATTTAAAATTTGATTTATAACCAAGCAAAACCTATAAAACCCGCTTTTTTTCAAGGCAGCTAAGTGTTAATAGCTTATCACAATTGAATAAACGTCTGCATTTTGGTGGGATCAAGTTCAAGCCTCAATCACTCAAGGGATGCAGTTTACCACCGAGCTACATCTCAACCCCTAAATATGATACTGTTGGGTCCATGAGCCCTCACAAACCAGTATTCCGTGGAAAGTGAGTTTTTTTGGGTTTTGTTTTGGGGCCAAACCCAGCATGCTCAGGGGTAACTCCTGGCTCTGCACTTAGAAATGACTCCTAGTGGTGCTTGGGGGACCACATGGAATGCTGGGGACTGAACTCAGGCCAGCCGTGTGCAAGACAAGTACTCTATCTGCTGTACTATTCCACGCCCCTTAAGAACATCTTAAATTTTCGTGATTAAGTGGAAAGGTGTAAATAATTTTACTATGCATTCTATATTTTGCTTTCAGTAATTGACCCAATCAGTATTTATTAGACACTATTTTGTTCCAGAAACTGCTACTGGTTTCCAGAAAATGCTAATGTTAATGCAGTATTCCTTGTTTAAAAAAAAAAAAGCAGAATTTCCTTGTTTTCAAGGCACATTAGAGGAAAACAAATGAGGACACAATTGTTTTGAATTGCACAATTTGGACAAGAAAGTATACAGAGCTAGGAAACTAAGAAAAGGAACCTCATGGAGGTTATGGGAGGCTCTCAAGGAAGTGATAATCAGGGACAGAGGATAGCCAGTAGGACACTTGTTTGCAAGCAGTCCATTCGGGTTTAAACACCCAGTACCACATCTGATCTCCAAGCCCCATTAGGCGTGAGCCCTGAGCATAGCTTGGTGTGTTTCCCCCCCCCCCCCCCTACACACACACACACAGGCTGTCTTATCACTTGTAAAATACATTAAATGGGAGTGACAGCAACCGCACAGACGCTAGCTTTTGGTTTGGGGGCCATACCCCACTGCTCGGCTTATTCTTGGCTCCATGCTCAGGAATATCCTAGTGGTACCTGGGGGACCATATGAGGTGCTGGGGATCTAGCCCATGCAAGGCAAGCACCTTACCCTCTACCTCCAGCCCACCCCCGCCTCGGACACTTAGAGACAGGATTTGGTTTCTTGAACAGAAATTTGTAGATTTTTTCCTTTTAGACTCATGAAAATTTCATTATTTTTTCTCACGGCCCACCCCCGCCTCGGACACTTAGAGACAGGATTTGGTTTCTTGAACAGAAATTTGTAGATTTTTTTCCTTTAAGACTCATGAAAATTTCATTATTTTTCTCACGGCATCTAAAACGTATTACTTGTGGCTCTCAGTTACCACTCCTAGGGGTGCTCAGAGGACTAGCTGTGGTGCTGGGGATTGAGTCTAGATAAGGCAAGTGTCCTGCCCTGTGTGCTCTGCGGGCCCCGCCTCACTTCATGTGGCCTCAGGAAGTGATGGTGCAGGGACAGAGAGGTCAAGGCACTAGGTGCTTCTCACATTTCACGTTCACCCAGGAATCTGCGGGAAAATGATTCAGGGGCAGATTTCTGAGCCCCCTGGAAGACTTGCTCAATCAGAGTGAAAGTCAGACCAAGAAATTGCTCTTGGGGGCTGGAGTGATAGCACAGCGGGTAGGGCGTTTGTCTTGCACGCGACCAACCTGGGTTCAATTCCCAACGTCCCATATGGTCCCCTGAGCACCACTAGGAGTAATTCCTGAGTGCAGAGCCAGGAGCATCCCCCGAGCATCACCAGGTGTAAGCAAAAAAAAAAAAAAAAAAAAAAATTGCTTTTGTTTTCTGGGTCCCACCCAAGGATGCTCAGAGTTCTTCCTGGCTCTGCACTCAGGAACGATTCCTGGTGGTGTTCAGGAGAACATCCAGGGTGCCAGGGATCAATCCCGGCTTGGCTGCATGCAAGATAAGCACCCTACTCATTATCCTCTCTGGCCCCCAGAACTTACCTTTTAACCAGCTCTCCTGACTGTCTCTCAGAGATGGAGCTTGAAGTGCCTTTTCACCAACGTGCTAAACGTCAAGGAACTGGATATTAGGAAAGTATGGGTCTAAATTGTGGGTCCATCATCAGCTAACCAGGTGGCAGCAGGCTTGAACCTTTCCAATCTGTCGCCTCGCCTGGAAAAGGTCTGATGGGGCTGAACAGTCCGGTGAAAGGCATTTGTCCTGCAGCGGCCAGAGCCTTGTAATCACCAGGGGTGAGCCCCGAGACCACCACCATGGCCCCCAATACAGAAAGCAGAAAAGTATAAATAAAGGCCTCGGTCAGCTCTCCTGAGCCCAGAGGCCTGCAGGGTCCATTGAAGTGCCGAGGGCTGTCCCCGCAGACATGACCCCTCCTGCTCCCCTGAGAGGCCAAGTGCATGGAGACTCGCGTTCCGAATGATTAAAGACAAGCGATAATGTAGGCAATGCACCCCGCGGTTAACTGATCTCTCTCCTATATTAAGTTCTGTGCCACAGAAACCTTTTCTCTTTGTCAGGGGCCCTGCACGCACCAGCACTCACGTCGCCAGCAGTGCCAAGCTGGATCCCATTAGTTCTGGGCAGAAGCTTGTTAGGGCATCTGAAAACCACAACTGGAGCCATCGGCTCTGATGGGCCTCATGCCCTGGGTATTTCCTTTCAACCGTATTCGGGGGAGAAGCACTTTGATAGAATGTACATATGGAAATATTTTACGACATTCTTTAAAAGTTAGATATTTTCTTCAGCATAGAGA